AAAGATTACAGAAACATTCCCTATTATTTATAGTACAACAGTTGAAAACAGGTACTATATTAATAAATAATCAACATATTGGAATCAATGTAGTACAACAGTTGAAAACAATTGGTTTTCTCCAAATGTTCGCTCAAACCGATTCTGGCATAGCTGCACTGGCATATTTTGGTGCCACAACCACTGCTCCAACCCAGTGCATACAAGGCAAAGCAGCGACACAGCAACCGCCTGGGATCTCTGTGTGGCAGTGGTCACTATGCCAATCTTAAATACCGTCTGGTAATCAAAGGTAATGGAAAGCCCCCGATGACTGGACATTCAAATGGGAAAACTCTCAAGAAATTTGCATTTTTCCATTGCCATGCTTGACAGAGGGTATCACGCAAGGAAATGTAAACCCCTTCACCCAAACATCTGGTTGAGCATTGGATCTGTCATTATCTCTTCATTTTAGGATATGGAGGCATGTTGTTTTGCAGGGCGCATGACTTTTTGGGTTTGTCTGGAAACTGGAAACACCTCAATTTATGGCAACTTCAATGGGATAATTTGGGCTGTAATGGGCTGTAGAGTTTGGGAGCTCCAAATTTTGATTGTTTTCCAACAGGAGAAGCTCAGGAACACGGCCATTCGCAATGAAACGAACCCGTCCCATCTTCCATGCTCTTTTAGGAGTGAGCCGTCAACGATATGATTAGATTCAAATATGGTTACTTACCGTCTGGTAAACTAACATAGCTGTTGAAAATCACAATTTTTAGTGGGTAAATCAAATATGTCTATGGCCATGTTCAATAGCAAACTGTTAAATTACCAGAGGGTAATGACTAGACGAGACTTCCATCGGGATTCACAGATATTCCCCATCCCATCCACAAGGCACCGACGCTCTCAAGGCGCCTCTCATTCTCTCTCGTAGAGTGGCCCGAAGGCGCCACCTGCCGCTGAAGGTGATGAGAATTTCAATCAACCCAGACGTCTCTACCCCAAAAAGCAGGACCTTGTTCCGGAACCATCAGCATTTCCACACCGTTGAAAGCGATTTGGATCGATTTGGTGCTATGGTTAGCAGCACGCCTCCTGGCTTGCGCTTCTCGAACCAAGCCCAAATCCTAGGAGCGCCGACATATCCGACATGCCCAGCTCAGCTCGAGGAAAAAGCCCGAGCCCCAGGCGCGAACAGGAAAGGAACACCAAGTGATCCCACAAAGCTACCTGGCCATCGCCACTGAGCCACCGACTGTACCATCAAACCACGAATCTCTGGCCCAACTTTGTGTTTTATATTGTTTTTTTTATATATATTAAAGTATCTTAAAGTCATACATTTTACATATGTACTACATTGGACTACCATGGTTTTGTATAACATATCAGTGTTAATCAAACATCTTGCTCCAGCATTCGTCGATTTTTACATGCAAACATGGGGCCGGCCTGTGATCATGGCAGCAGGATCAATGGGGTATTCGATCTTGGGCGGCAATGCTACGAACGTCACCTCACAGGTGTTGGACGAAGCCCTGTCTGAAATTGGGGTATATACCGTATACCCCGAAAACTTTTTTAAACATGTTTAAACTGTTCATGTTCAGCTAGAACAATAATTACAAACAGAATTAAGCAGTTGGATTATATTTGATTTAGGGATACCCTGCTTCAGACAAACCCACTCACAAGGATCTCACTTTTTTGTGGGGGGTGGGAAGGATATGTGTCACCCACGATCTTCTCTGGTTTCCTAGCGGTTTTCAACAAGAAAAGTCCATGATTCGGTCTGTGGCATCAGCATCAGCGAAAAACAAATCCCGCCATAGCGATTTTGGCACGGGGACTTCAGAGCTATGCATTTAGCAGAACGACTTGGGAAACTCTGCATCAGGATGACGCAAAATTGGCTTGGAATGGCGCGAACAAGCTGTCCTAATCCAGCATGTGGATGCATTTGGGTAAATTTGCGGGTTCCACCTGCTCCACTACGGAAGAATACGGAAGAATATGCAATGATGTACACCTCCTACATGGTCCTACAATGCTCCCATGGCCCATATCCCAAGGTGCCAACATTCTCATTTTGAAGCCTCCGGCTGCCTGTCTTGCCTCGGCACTTGTTGACATGCGCTGCGTCATTTGGTTAGTCTCAAAAGGGATTACCCAAAAAACGTTTGCCATGAGAATGAACATTGCCGTTTTGGGTCCTCCCCGGTGCTGCAATCATCCCAGCTGTGGCGTAAGGCTGACAATTCAGATAAATTTCTATAGTAGCGCCCAGATGTTAAAAGTATAGATCGCTTTTTAAAGTCAGATTTTAGTTTTGTATCTTTGCTGGGGTTGCTGGGTGATCGCTCTATGTGTATATATATATATATATATATGTGTGTGTGCGTGTGAATAAATGTCATATAACACTTAAAGCTCTAAATTGGGCCAAGCATTTCCCTTTGATGTCGCAGCTATTGGTTCCCAACACAACGGCAATCCGCATGGCGCTTGCCTTGGGGATCCTTGAGATAACGTCACACCATTCAAAGTTCCAACGCCGAGCGGTAAGGGATAGGTTCTAGACACAACTGGATTTATTTTGTTGGGTGTTTGAAGCAAACTCGTTGAAAAACCAATGGCCAGGGCCAGGGGGAGCCTAGTCTCGAATCTTATTTAGCGGTAGTGTCTTGGCAGCTCACCAACGTTTGAGAAGATCATTTCAGGAAAAATGACCATACAAATCACCGCAAACCCCCAAAACAAATCCAAAATTAAAATCCGAATCTAAAACATTGAAAAAACAGTGATCAACTACCCTATGGATCCAGCTGTACCGTCCCTATGGAAGTGCTTGAGGTATGATTTGGGAGGTATGATATACCTTCTCAGGAGTTTGGATCCATAGGGCTACTTTTCTCTCTCTTTTGGTTGGGTGGTGATGGTCACCAACATTGTCCCCTTGAATCGTCCAAGGTACCGCCTTGGGCGGCGACAATCAGCACCTGTCATGGGAAGGGTTACTTGGGATTTGCTAAGCCGCTATGATGTTGGAAGTGGAAAGAACCACGATACCTATAGGGAATCTACATAGGGAATATATTATGCATATATTATATCGCTCTCTGTCTCTCTCTCTCTCTCTCTCTCTCTCCCCATCGCCTTCAATACATATTATGCATTGTTTGGTGGTACTTCAAGCACATCCAAGAATACGCTCCGTTCAACACATAGCAAACTGGAAAATCCCCGAAATAAATGGAGGTTTATAGCTGGGAGAATCAGCTGCAAATTAAAGATTTTCCATTGACATGTTTGTTTACCGCAAGGTAGATGGTACCATCCGGTAATCAAACATGGCAGTAAATAATTTATGGACATTCCCCATATATACATATATAATATATATATATATAATTCGAATATGTTTGATCATGTTCCTATTCAAATGCCCATTTAGTTCGGGGAATTCCAACCTTGTCATGTTTGACTGCCGGATGGTACAGTTAGCATTAATAAAATCCAATAGAATCCATGTGTTCGGCCATGTTGTCCCCATATCCCCTTTATGCTATGACATGATATAACCATTCTAGCGTCTATTACGCTTGGTTAGCCCTCTGGTAATCAATCGTGGCAGTTGAAAATCCACCATTCATAGTTGATTTTCCCATGAACACCTCCATGTTATAGGGAATTTTATAACCAGCTACGTTTGATTACAGGAGGCTATATCAGGTACAGTATATCTCCCCATTCTTGGGCGGTCACGGTTCCAGATTCTCTAAAAATAAAAAACAGGCCGCGCAAGGACGATGTAGAGGGCATATCGCAACCTTCGCCACGCCTGCGGACATGTGCCATGCTGATGGCACGTGGTGATGTGGCAACCTGTGGTAACGTGACATGGCTGGCTGTTCAATTCTAGTCAACCTTGAAAGAAAGATATTACACCATCTCCAATTGTGCAAGGATTCGGAATGGCTGATGTTCCTTGGTTTTCCAGCCCAATGTTTTTGTAGAAATGGGTGGTAGAAACCATGTAGAAACCATTCCGAAGCCAGGGGTCTCATTATTCCTATAATGAGCTGCTGAGGATAGGGGAGGATCGGTAGCACGAAAACCTGAAACCTGCCAGAGACCTGCAACATGTTTTGGGGGATGGACATGACATCGCACTCTCTGCGCCTCTTGGTGTATGTTTTTTGGCAACACCAGGCATCTAGACTCATTCCCTGAGAACGGTGGACCTGATTGGGTTTGTCTGAACATGGGGTATGCCTAAAATCCTATGGATGATCTTCTTAATTATCTTCATATTCTCATTAAACACAACCAAATGTTGATTTAAATTTAGATGTTGTTTCTCCTATTCAAATTGCAATTTTTGGAGCTAACCAACTTCCAGAAGCCCTAAGGAATTGGATCTTGCAGGCGCCTCCGCCTTGTGAGGCAGTTCTTCGCGCTTTTTGAGCCCAAAGATGGAGGACAGGTAAGGCGAATGTGACGTCCAACAAAGGCGGAAGACCCATGGTCACCATGGTCCCTAGACTAGACATCAATCATGAATAATCAACATAATGGTTACATAAGGTCAGTCTCCATATATTAATTATCTCCATATTATAATTCCATGAAGTGTCCTTATACTTATAAATGCTGCCTGCTCCTCTTAAAGTGCACTGCGCCATTCATGGATGCTTCTCAAGTCATTTGCGAGGAGACTGGTTCCTCGGCGGCTTCAATGATCGAAGAAGTTTTCCGAAAGCAGAATTCCTAGAAATCAACCACACGCCTCTATGGGTTTCAAGTCATTGGCATGCTTCAACCGACATTGGATTTGAAAATACTACAGGAAGTATCTCCACCCAATGGTGATATCCAAACAAAGACTCAGTCCATACAACTGCCAGAATATTGAACCGTATTCAACCCCACTTGAATCATTTTGAACCCCCATATATACCCAGTTTCTCCCCACAATTTCCCGTGAATGGCCCCTGATAAATCCATAACTTTTATGGTGTTATACTGCCATTTTTTGGTGGTGGTGGTGGTGGGCTATCGCACACGCTCCAACACCAAATCCGTTTTGAGTGCTCCGCGCTGACCTCCCATTTCTTTTGCGCCGTTGGACCTTCCAATAGCTCCCTCCGCACGCGCTTGGGCAAGAACTGCAGTGCCTCGCCGCGGGCACAATCGACAATTCATAAATATGGCGTTACCCACAAATGATCCAACACTAGATCATTTCAGTGTTGAAACAACCATGGTGACTTGGGGATCCACCATTTTAAGAGCCCATAAACGCGGGTTCATACATGCAATGCGGCCAACCGTGGGAACAGGAACTATCAAAGTGGAACAAATTGGAGATCCGCAATAATGAGACCGCAAAGCTTCAAATAGCAAGAAACCAACACCATTGCCAACATATCGACAAATCAAGGGATATGAAATAAATATTCCCATCACTAAATTTGTGAAAAAATATTCCCAGCTGTGAAGCACAAACACAGGTTGGTCACTCTGTCTGTGGCATATAATCATCGGTCATCACCATATGAGGAGCCGAATTTGACCGGAAGTACGTGTACAGTCTGGTCACGAGACCCCAAAATTTGAAGCGTTGCAGTACCCTCTGGTAATTTGACATAGCTATTGAAAATGGCCATTTATAGTGAGTTTTCCCATTAAAAAATGGTGATTTTCAATAGCTACGTTAAATTACCAGAGGGTATCAGTCAGGTGAGTGACCAGGTGTGTTCGAACGAGATTTCCACCATGTTTGGCTCGAGCTTTGAGATACAGAACCAGATCCGCTTTCCAGAGGACAACATCGTACCTCAACGGTTTGCCAATGGGAGAACTACTACATGGATCTCAATGGTACACATGATAGACCCAAATTATATAAGACATTACCCATATGCTCCATGGTGCTGGAATATTTACCAACATTTTCCCTAAAAATCACCCAGTTATGTAGGTAAATATACTATACATGGATCCTATGGGTTATAAGACAGCCCCATGTTTCCAAGGGGCAGCCATGTTGGCTGCCATGTACCTCAACTGATGTTTTTTTTTCCCGCCTTGAAGCGTTGAGAACCAAAGAGAGCACGCGGCTCCCAGCCTTCCGGCGCGGCAGTGGTCAGCAAGTGCAAATCCCCAGGGAATGGGTGCAAAGCGACCTGCGGCAGCATGGAGGAAATGGTGATCCATTTGGGATGGTCCTCCTTTGGAAATTTCATCTGGTTGGTGGTATACCTACCCCTCTGAAAAATGATGGAGTTCGTCAATGGGAAGGATGACATCCCATATATTAGGGGAAAAAAAAGTTCCAAACCACCAACCAGTCATGGTTCTTTTCTTCTCCAGCCCTAAATTGAGGTCTATGAAGTTGGCTTTGTCATGGTTTGTCGCATTCCACATTCGTGAATCTGGTCTTGGGCCAGAGCCAAATGCCCCAAAGCTGGAGGGTGGAGGAAAAGCGGGCAACATATGGATTGTTGGCCCCGTAGACACACACACACAGATGTGTATATATATATATATATATATATTTATTTATTTAGAGTGTATATATATATATATATATGTACATATACATGCACACACATATATATATATATATTAATACATATCATATACAATACGTATCTATCTGTCCATACCATGAAGATTCACCAAGGGACATGTCTGGGGCCAAGCAAAAAATCTCTTAGTGCGTGGTCATGGGACTCAACTGAAAGGAAACAACTTCCTACAATGTCCATATACATATGTATATATATATATTATATTGATATTGATATTGGAACATATCTTAAGGGGATGGGTAAATCAATTGTGCATCCTCACTTTTGAAATCTACAGCCATTCTCAGCAAACTTTCGTGGAATCGTCATGAACTATTTCAGCATCGGATTGATAAACAAAACAACAAATCTAATTGTGGGGAACCCATCTCATGATTGAATATAACATTATAAAATAATATAATATATATAATATAAATGTATAACACCACATTCTGCTCCCGGCTATACTTAAATGATCATCCAGCCCAGGAATTTTTCCAGTACTCCCCGCCACGACTTCGCCGAAGGAGTTGGGCTCTGAGAGGCCGCAGATGGCCGTCTTCGGAATCCTTGGCCAATTTTGGGAAGAGTCGCACAGAGATTTCTGGGGACATTCAGCAGATGGGATGTGTAAAAAGTGATGGCTGGGTATAGTCTAAGCGTAACCAAACCAAAATAGAAAATACCGTACCAAAAAGGTGATTGGGTGTGTATATAATATATATATATATATAATTAATTAAATATATCACATGTTTGGGAGACGACATACTGTGGATGGTTGCGAAATCCTGCACCACCTTGGATGGTTGAAACCCTACAAATAGGGGGATAAACATGGATAAACCACATATCAACTGGTGCAGGATTTCGCAACCATCCACAGTATTACCCTATTTAGATCTACAAAAAACAACTCGCTAAATACCCAACACACCGAGGCTTACTCTGTAGGAAATCGGTGTCAAAGACACAAGCGTCTCTCGGGTTTTTTTCCAGGTTCAGATCTTAGCCTCCACACTCCGGTGTCATCAAACATGGCCTACTGGAACATCTAGCATTTATAGTTGATTTCCCAGCTATAAACATCTATTTATGTGGGATTTTCCAGCTTGCTATGATTGGACATTGGATAATACTATTACCAAAATGTCCTGGCAAATCCTTATGGAAATCAACTATAAATGATAGCCAGGACATTACATACTATGGTATAGCCAGCTTTTATGCCTTCACCATTATGTTTGACTAGTGGAGGGTAATTCGAATGTTTCCCATGACATTACGGTTGGCTCTTGGTGGCTCCTTGCATGAGGTGACAAATGCAGAAGCATCAGAACAACACCACAGGACCTGACAGACCTGACACAAGGCCTCCATCTTACTAAGGCCATTTGGCGATAATTCTCTCAGTGACTAATATGGTAAACCATAGTAAACCCAAGGCTATGAACCTATACGATTTGGAGATGTTTATACAACCCATCAAAATGATGGTGACTTGAGGATTGTTTGTTTATGGCAGTGGCTTTACCACATTATCCCGTGTTTTTCTGTCAATGGCCGGACACCGCCCAGGAACTTCCAATCGCGTAGAAATCGTCGGGCGGCAGCACGGGTCGTTCCTGGCGGCCCGGCGCGGCATCCTATGGCACCCCATGTCACACGGAAACAACAGCCACATAGTGCCACAATGAATAGCAATAAGGATAAAATGTTCAACTGGTTGGTGGTATACCATGGTATACCTACCCCTTTGAAAAATGATGGACTTCGGTCAGTTGGAATGATTATTCCCAATATATGGAAAGTCATAAAATTCCATGGTTCCAAAGCACCAAGCAGTCAAGAATTGCCCATCTTGGTAGCTCGGATCTGGGATCCAAAAATAAAGCACCGCATGCTACCCAAGGTCTCTACCGCCCGTCATTCCATATGATTTATCCAAACAAAAGGATGCAAAAGGTGCATGTGTTTGTTTTTTTCCCATCTAAATGCCCATCCCATGCCTGCCAAGTGTCCCTTCTCTGCTTCCTCTGCTTCCACAGTGGCCTCTGCTGCCTCCTCCCCAGAAAGCGCGGCAGGGGCTGTGTCCGCTGCCTCCCGGGCTTGGGCTTCGGCTGTGGCCGGGGCTTCATCTTTGGAAGCATCCAAGGGAAGCTTTTCCTGGGCCTGCTGAGCACGCTCCTCGTGCAGGACGAGGTGAGAACGGTTGGCTCATGATCTTTTCCATGTCCCTTCTGCGGTTATACAGTGAAGCATGTCATGGTTTCAGGAGCAGTCATCTGGCTGGTCCCCCCACACTGTTCCCAGCTTGGGCAAGAACAGAAGCTGTTCACATGCCAAAAGCACCAACTATCTGTGAATGGAGCTCACTTGAAGGCAGCAAACTGGCTCACAACTTCGACATCACCATAAATGGTATCTTGCCCAAAAGGCCATATGGATCGTCTTGGAGATGGAACATGGTAACACATATCATATCAACGTCAGATCAATCTTCATAACTATTCAAAAGTCTGAGGGAAAATATGAGAAAATAATGGAACATATGGTTTCCACAGTGAGTTTTGGGAGTTTTCCCTAAGTGCTCCCATGCTGGTCCTGGCTTTCCATCCGGCAAATCTCCTGTGAAGGAGACGATTCCTCACCTTGCGATGCACTGCTACAATCCTCGCTCTCTCCTTCGGCTTGCTTCAACTTCAGCACGTGGGTCGCTGGATAGGTCTGAACATTGTGAAACCAGCAGAATATAGGGGCTGAATATCTTCCCCTAAACCAAGTCCGGCAAAGGAGAACATAGAAGAACCATCGTAAACTAGGACTTCAACTGGGACCGGGGATCATTTCAGCTGCCGGAACTCAGAAAAAACACATACGAAAACGACGTCATCATCAAGCACTTTGATCTGGGATGCCATACAGGGCTCTCATGGGCGGATCAATACGTGAGATGCTAGAAACTCCAGGGCAGAAGCATGCTGGAACGGCTAGTTCGGCGAGTTGTGCTTGGTGATCGGCTCCATCATGTAATCATCATTCGAAACCCAAGAGCTACTGTAAATAGTACCCTCTGGTTATTTAACATAGCCATGGTATAGATGGCCCATTTATAGATGGTTTACCTGGGTTTACCTATTAAAAATGGTGATTTTCCATGGCTATGTTAAATAACCAAATGGTATAAACAACAATGACCACATTGTGACCCGTGACATGCCTGTCACGGTGGTTTTGTAGAAAAGCAGAACCCGTTGTGACGACTGGCAACTACACTGTGCCTGAACAACACCATCTTTCATCAAAGTTCAATAGCATGGACATCTCAAAAATAGGCAAGTGTCATGGAAATGAAAAATCACACATGTTTTTGATGATTTCCCATTGAAACATGTTGAACCCCCTTTTAATTAGTTTAGGGCTTCGGCATTTCCCATTGTCATGTTTGATTCCTGAAAGGGCTTCCAAGCTCCAAAAACGCGAAATCCGATGAAACAGCCGGGCTCCTGTACTCTCACTGGAATCGTGTTTTTTGCGCAGCACCAGCACTGTACCACCTGGAAAGCACAACATTGGAATTCCTGCAAGAAGTGGGCTTGTATACTTAGCTTTGCAACAGGGGAGATTTCAGGATTTCCATCTCGCAAATTGCTTCCTCAAAAGCGAAACCTGCGAATCACCACCCTGATATATGAGGCAACCATCGAAAAAAGAGGTGCCCATCAACCCGCGGCCACCCCCCACCAGGACGACAAGGAAGCTTCAAACTTGGCCAGGGTCCATACTCCTCCTGGTCATTGTAAAGGAAACTGACGTGTGAACATACCTCTGGAGTCTCTTTCGCATATGCCAAGTCCCTGTAACACCAAATGAACGGACTCCATGTGTAAACCCTCCTTAAGTAACAAGGTCATTGACTTTGGGGGGGTTGTGGGTTTATGATTTTCTGTGATTTACTATAGATCTACATGGATACGGCCACCATTATCCACCATTGATATTGTAACCTGCAACATTGACAGTTGTTAATCATGATGAGCCATTACCAAACATTATTAACTATGAACCATTATTAGATGATGTTATGAGATTCACTATAGATCTGTATTACATCATATCATATGATAGTGCAAAAAATACTCTTTGACTCTTGTGGATTGTTATATGCAAACAGTAAATTTGATAGGAACCACACTATAGATCTGTATGAAATATCATATTCACTATAGATCTTAACCACTACTATGACTTGGGCGAATTTGTTATATTTGACTATTATATACTAATTATATATATATATATATGTGAATATATATATATTGTGCATATATATATATACTATCAAAGACTATTATAGGTTGATATTAGACTATCTATATTATATATTATGCTTATATATATATATATATATATTGACTATTATAGATTGTTGTATGCACGTCACCTGGAGCATCCGCCACAACTTCGCAACTGGCGATCTGGCGCTCCTTGCGTCGGACCTTGCTGGCCTACCGGAGGCTCACCCCCCGGTGCCGGCTGAGCGAGCCGTGTGGAATCAGAGAGATAGATATTTCTGATTTGTTGAAAATGAAGATTAATATGATCATATGCTTATATACCCTATATATATATATATGTATATATTATATCACACTACATCCGTTTTTGTGTTCATACTTACAATCAGTATATCCCATGTTGCTTGATGAATTCCACGAAACTGAAACGTATAATATACATAGAGTACCCTAAAAGTCCAACAGCTATTCCAGACTGGCGTTTGTCGTAAAGACCCTGCTAGGGAAAAATTACATAAAATCACCATGTCATAGGATTAGGATAGGTAAATAATAGGTATATATATATATATGTATATACCATCTGGTTATTTAACATAGCCATGGAAAATCACCATTTTTAATAGGTAAACCATCTATAAATGGTCCATCTATACCATGGCTACGTTGACCAAAGGTTTTTTCGTTGGCCCCGGCCTCTTCATCCAGCTCCAAAAGATCGGAAGCTTTCACGGCAGTGTGGAGTTCTTCCAAGGTGATGCCTCGGTTGACCGCAAGCTTTTTGGGCAAACAACCACTGAACCTGAAATAAATTACCCTCTGGTAATTTAACATAGCTATTGAAAATGGCCCATTTATAGTGGATTTACCCATTGAAAATGGTGATTTTCCATAGTTATGTTAGTTTACCAGAGAGTACACTTGTTTTGGGGAACAAAAAACATGGAAATGAAATTGCCTCTCTCACTATTTTTGCTATTTTTATAAGCCAATCTGGGGCTTTATCTATCCTTGGTGGACGTTAGCCGCTTAGAAATCATCTACAATTTGAGCCATCCATCAAGCCTATCAAGCCTATCAAGCATACTGTCCCGCCAATTTCGCCTTATATAAACCAATCCGATGACTCATTATGATTGACTATAGCCTATGATATCCTGAACCAAAAACTTCACTCATTTAAATCTTTATAGTTTCTATTCATATATGTCGGTTTTCCATGCTTTTCTCAACAATGTTTCAGCTTTTCCCAGTTTCGTGGATCCAGGTTTACCCACTAAAAATAGGGTCGTTAACCCCTTGAAATTTCGATGAATTGCCATATTTTTTCCCGTGAAATTCCCATATCTTGGGATCCCCCATGTTTGGACCGACCAAATAATAAGAGTGGATAGTTTGGACGCAATGCATCCCAGAGGGTCCTGAACATCATCATTTTAAATTCGACATCGACGCTAGGACCAAAATGGACCAAATTGAAAATCAACAATATTCATATGGTCCATTTTGGATTCAACAATATGGTCCCCAAATATAAATCAACCAAATTGAAAATGGACCAACATATGTCAACAATATTCAAAAAAGACCATATGTTGGGGATTCTCATGACATCTTTGAATATCACCAAGCCAGCAATAGCCAGCATCCCATCAACCGCCCCAAGCCTTTCCGGGCCTTCGCGTTGCAACTTGGGACACTGCAGCAGCCACTGGCCGCTGAGCCAAGCTCCGGGTTCCGCGGCCTCCCGCAGCGCCACGTCCCGAGACAAGTTGCGGTCCGTGAAGTAAAACCTCCGCGGAGGTGACAGATGGGTACCTCAATGGGATTGGTGTAAGGGAAAACCTATAGGAAACCATGGAATTTCCCGTCAAAATATGGTGTTTTCCTGTAAATTTTCCCTTAAACCAATCCATTGCGTATCCTAGGATGTAAATCTCTACACTTTTTCGGGCCCCCCAGTGATGTGAATGTTAGTTAACAAAGCCCCAGTAACTATAGTTAGTACCATAAACCATTTTTTTTAAAAGGATTTTTAGGTCAAATCACTATTTTTTCCCATGGTTGTTGGTTGAATCCGTTTTTTGACCCTTATTTTTGGCTGAATCAAAATCATTCACTATATGGGATAAACCAGCAAGGGTATAAAGCAACAATATGAGTGGGCTGATGCATTTAGCCATTGACCATTTACCACCACAACCAGCTGGCCAAATTGTAATAATTCACAAGCCTGAACATAGCTGAAAAGTTCGGCCATTTGGGGATGATTCCTCATATATAAACCACATCATTCCAGTGACGTCACGGCGTGAGGTCACTATGATTTATCCAGACATAGTGGCATAGGATAAATGGATCATTGGGTAGATAAAGAAATTCCCTACATAGTAAATGCAGATTCATGGTGTTTTTTGCCGTGGCTGGGACCATTTGCGTTTGAAAGCCCCAATAATATGTTTTTTCTCCGGAGAAAGCCCGCTTCCCTTTAGATTTTCCACTGCCGGTTTATAATCAATACATGCTAAAGGTTCTCACAGCCTGTCTCACCGAAGGAACAAGTGGATGAAATGGCGATTCTTAACCCATAGAAATCGGCAATGGTTTGGTCATGGCAGAAAATCGACATGGGCAGGACTCATGGAGCTGGGGGGTGAAGTGAAGCTAAGGCCCGGGACTCAACTTGTCTTCGCACTTTGGACAAGTCGACCACCTACCAGGACACAACAACAGTGGCCAACCCGTCGCCTGTGAGCCATGCCAAGTCTCAGATCTATCAGACTACATATATATATATATATGCAAACATGCAACTATAATATATATATATATATATGTATATGATTATGTATGATATATATATATATATATGCATACATTCTGTCACAAATCCTTGCACCAAGTGGTACAGTGCTTTCGTTTGTCCAGGTATAAAAAGGTCGGGCCTTCAATGCCTTTGCAGGTGGCTCTTCAGGATCGGCATCCATCACAGGGTCGGCTCCCAAGGGCTCCCAACACCCCGTTGCTTTCTCTGCTGTCGTGGCTACCCATAGGATCCATGGTGCTTTGTTTTCTATGCTGACATTGGGGGTATATTGATGGTAAATGTTACCATATATAGCATACCTGGATCCTATGGGCTATAAATTTCCGTTTATAAATATGAACTGGAGCGACCCTGACAATATCTGACAATGCTGAACGGCTCACCGGCTCAATAGTTCCGAGATGAAGTTACGCAACCCAAAGGCTGGCTGAACGCTTCCGTCTTGATCCTGTTTGGTGGATTTCTGGCAAATCTTGGCGATGTGCTGGTTGTAAGGGCGTTGCTCGGAGTGGGTAGCTTCACTCAGAGCTACTACTATGTGCCATTATTTGCTGTACAACTCAGTTTGTGATATTGGCATAAACATCTATAAAATAAATGTGTGCAATCAGCTGTCACTTTAAAGTTGCTTTGGACTCTTGGACATGTCAATGAGAGTCAGTAAGACATTATTGGCACACATGTTTCAAATGTACATATGAATATATATATATATATGTGTATATATATATATATTCAAATGATTATCCAAAATCACCCATGACATGGTCAACCATGACATGGTGTGAGTCAGTCACTGTGCAGCCTCTTGACCTCCGGGAAGTATCCCCAAGTCATCTGTTTCGATGGCAAGCCCGGACGTGAATCGTATTGGCTGCGGGCCCTCCGAACATGTGCTGATCAGTGGTGTTGATAGGTGCGTGGTTTCAAGCCCCTTTTTCAAGACATGGCTCGTCTTTTAGGACCATCGGCCCAAATTCTGCTTGAACAGTCTTGAACATCAAATGAAACCAGCAAGCAATGATAGGTAGAACCTGCCCCCACCATTAAAGGCCCTATCCATTGACATCGGCCCGCGATTCCCGCAGCCTTTTTGCTCAACTCATTGGGACTGTGGCTGGACATGAGCTGAGCATTGCGTTACGGCATAAGGGGCATCTCAGGCACATGACAATTAAATATGCTTGATAAATTCAGGATCATAAGCAAACAGCCTGAGATAGCCTGAGGGCCCAATGATTTGACTTATTCGCGTTGCTTCTATGTTCTTCAATGTGATCTTTCGGCCATTTCCCGCTATATATGGGGCACGGAATTCGGCGACCCAAACCGCGCAGATTGCAAGTTCCAATGAGCGCGGCCAAACGCTTTGTGGCGCCAGCATTTTGAATTTAATGTGCACTGCCTGGAAGCGCCACCTGATGATGATTCTGCAGTAGGTTAGAGGATCACTTGCTACACTGGCTGCACATCCATGGATTCGTTCATGTGGCAAGGATTAGTCATCCCCATTGAAAAAGAACAGGGATTATATATAATTGCTTTGTCTTTTCCCTATTTACCCCACATTCTGGCGTGAAAAACGAGTCGAAAAAGTATGGCAAGTTCAGGCCTGATTGGCCATCTGCAGGGCGCCAATCTGCCTGTAGATACCACCACCAACACAATTATCACCACTAAGAAATATAGGCCATCTCCAGCAAGAATGAGATTTGAACACCTAGACCTAGACCTATAAACATAGACTCTCCAAGTAGCTGGGATACATGGCGTAATACCAAAAGTTTGACGAATCAGTCAGTTGGACACCTCGAATTCTCACCAGGTGACTTCAACTTGCCCGCGCCTTTTAGCGCCCGTCGAGCCACTGCAAGGTGGTGCCCTTTCCCCACGTCTCTTTGTTGATAAACCCAACCAGTGAACTAATTAGTGCGAAATATCCCGCATAAACCCAACAGTTGGCCTACCACCACCTGGCGGTAACCAGCAGAATCCTTCAGAGCGACAGCATTGTGGCCTGGAGTGCGGCAGGTTTTTAGGTGAGATTAGATCCCAGTTTTACGTTGAACTGTCGGAATTATACATGTTTCAGGTATGACATGATTGACCCCGGAGCAACCAACTCCTGGCTTTGCTTGGGGGTGTCATTTTTGGAGCAAGATTTATGATTCCATGCTCAAAATTCAATGATTTATCCTCATATATATCCTCATTCCCCCACTCAACTGGTACAAAATCTAGATAATCCAAACTAGATTCCAAACCAGATCTTCTTTTCTTTGGCTCCCTTACTGATTCTTTCTCTTGGATGTTAAATGCCCTACCAATCCTGGTCCAACATGTGATCTATCCAGTTTGAGGGACGGTTTCCGATCGCTGGACCAAGAACAGCTGACGAATTGATTTGCTGGGTTTTCTACAATCTTAAACCACCGTGTTTGAGAATCAACCAATTGTCATGTCATAAACCCATATATATATATAATATAAACCCTTAAAAAATATCAACTATCTATTATTATCTTATCTTCTTTCCCTCCATTGCTTTCTTCTTTAAGGTGAAGGGTTCCTAGTCAGGTTTGCCCCCCAATTTATAGAATGGAGGCCTTGGTGAAATTCGGCTCTGGGCGGCTCCGGCTCGTGGCCTCCCGGATCTCTCAGATTGAAAAATGTGAAACCCATGGGGAAATCATGGGGAATGGATCAAGGAGGGATACCCTCTGGTAATTTAACATAGCTATTGAAAATGGCCATTTATAGTGGATTTTCCCATTAAAAATGGGGATTTTCCATAGCTAGTTAAATTACCAGAGGGTACCTTCTAGTGTCACCAGAATTATAGCTATATTCAGATAAAACGTCAATTATGTTTTGGGAACTACAGGTCTTGTCCTCTTTGGGTGGTGCATCTGGGTCCAAAAATCAATTTTGAACCATAATCTTACTTCCAAAAACCGGGGTTCAGCCGCAGTCCAGCCAACAAAATGAAGCAACAAAGGATGGGAAAGGAAGAGTGGGCTTGAACTTTGAACCAGCAGTATTTGTTCGAAACAAAAACAGGCCTGCGCAGAAACCCAACAACATGACCACATCACCAGGAATGCAAGAAGACTGGGACTCGACATGATACCTCCCAAATTTGATGGTTAGAGTTACCTCCTGGTAAACGTTTACATAACTATGGAAAGATCCACCATTTTCAATGGGTAAATCCACTATTTCTCTGGCAATATATGGCAATTTTCAATAGCTGTGTTAAATTACCAGAGGGTATCATGTTCCCCAACGAATGGCCACTCGGGTAAATCTACGCTCGCAGGCACATACTTCTTATATCTTCTTATGGGAAATGTTGAAATCATTGGATTGAAGGAAAAACGGCAGGAAAATCGGAAAACCCAACATATTTCATGGTGAAAACCAGCGTTTCCTATAGATTTTCCTATCGATTTTCCCTTACCCTCTGGTAAACTAACATAACTATCGAAAATCACCATTTTTAATGGGAAAACTCACTATAAATGGCAATTTTCAATAGCTATGTTAGTTTACCAAAGGATATCTAAACCAATGGAACCTGCCGAACGCAGAACAAAAAACATCCGCCAACGTTGGGCGCCAAGTCTCCTGCCGCCCGAGTTGCTGTTCCAGCACCTGGCGACGGAGATTCCACCGACCGTAATGATGGCCACATAAGCTGACAAAATACCAGGCAAATGTCAACAATATACATGTATATATATATATATACATATATATATATATTGATATATAGTTACATGATGGCGCAATTTTATGCAATTTTTAGACTATAGTTACATTTGAATATGATGATAGATGTGAATTCTACGCATATATGTTACATGTCAATTCTATAGAATATGCTCTGTCATATTCTACTGTTTCGCCCTCGGTTGCCTCAGCAGCTTGTGACCGTTGAGCCGCTTCAGCCACAGCTTGTCGCATGCAGCGTTGCCGTTGTCTCCTGGCCCAATGGCAATTTTTGATGGCAAGCTCCATGGGAAATGATGTGCTTTGGGGGAAAATCAACTCAATTTTGCTGGAACATGATAATCACACACATATTTACAATGATATATATAGATAGATAGATAGATAGATAGATAGATAGATAGATAGGTATATTTAGATATATCATGATATATCAATTTGCCAATGTCCATGGGAAAATGACAATCACACATAGCGAAATATTTGGGTAATCCTCTGCGGCTTTTCCTGCCATGTTCCCTTCACCCGCTTCTTGGATATTGGAAAAAACCCTAGAGTTCGCCAACAAAATCCAGCAAAATCCCATACAATTCCACTAAAATCTCTGCCAGTGAACCGGCCACTGGCAAAATCTGAGTGGCGCACGGACTGACGTCCTCCACTCCTAGCAAAAACGAAAGCACTCTGTGGACATTTCCAAAATCACCACAAACTTCTGAACATGCCAACATCAACCATGCAATCTAAACATAAACAACAATGGACAAATGCTAAACAATGCTGAACATAAATAACACACAAGTAAGAACATAATCAAAATAATCAAATAAAATGAGGGGGTACCCCCAAAATCATTGATATGACTTAGGAACCCCCTGTCAGGATGGCCATTTTCAGCCGCTCACCTGGTCCCTTGCTGTCATTGTTCCCAAAGGTGAGACGCAATTCCTGGCGCGAAGAAATCCGGTTTATAACTTGGTTGGACTTAGTTATTGTACTAGGGTTTATATATATATATATATTTATATGGGGGATAAATATATAGAGAATGTTTTCTATAAACCAACTTATAGCTGGGGGAGCCTACTTTGTAGGAATCATTGTGGGTTAAGCTGGGTATAGTCCCAGAACCACGACTGAAATTGGGGATGTGGGCCGTAGATGCGTAGATCTGACCTCGGACATCAGCCCAGCAGGAAATTCAGTACCCTCTGGTACTCAAAGCATGGCAATGGAAAATCCCTCATTTAGTTCGATAATTTTCCCAGCTCGAAACTTCCATATTTATAGAGGATTTCTCATAAATCCTATGGATTTTCAATGGTTTTCCTATGGTTTTCTCATTGAAACGTGCATTTATCATGCATTTTCCAGCCATGTTTTGATGACAGCGTTGCAGGCATCGAAATGTTACGATCCAGAAGCTCCGTCCTGAGGTATTCTGCCCA